AAGAAGCAGAGGCAGTTTTCACCTTCATTGGGCCCAGTACGTATACGGTATACGGAGACCGGTGACCAGTATATAGGTGACTGTAGATCTGCTTCAGATTCACGCGACTTCGGCAGGAAGTGATGCGAGAGCAAGACAATAAGATTCAGGCCGGAGAATTCTCAGTTTCACAGCGCGCGCATAGATGCATTGATGCAGCCGCCAAGGAGACGACAGCGCAAGTCAAAGGTCTTCGGGTGGTTGCAGAGGTCTCCCAGTGCAAGATGTAGTTCTGATGTCTTTCCGCTTTCCCGGTGGAAATGTTTTGCATGTTTTACAGAATCTGCAGATCTTCAACAATCGGATGTTTCCAGATGCTGCGTTTCTGGCATCAAATTCTCCAGGCCTTGTGCGATGTCATAGTGAAGCTGGACAGCAAGAAATGCGTAGCTCTCCCAGCTTCCGTGCCACGAAGTGCCAAAACAACGGCCGTGCGACGGCCGTGCCACGGCGCGGTGTGAAATCGCCTGAGGTCGATGGAGCCAACCCCCGGCAGGATGCTTTCTTTGAGCCATTGGCCCATCCCGAGTTGAGATTTACGGATGGAATGGGGCCATTTTTTCGGAGCTCAAGCGCAGGAGTTTTAGGGTATAGAGTCTAGAGATGTATAGAACCAATTTTCAGAAAAATCGACCTTCGTGATTATTTCTGCGTTTGTAAGCTGGTATTTCTCCGCTCAGGACAAAGCTCGAAGGGAGATGTTTTGAGGACTTCTTGTCTGAGCAAGACAGGACAGAGTCGGTTGGTTTTTGCTTGGCAGAGTGCAGAGGATGGAAAGTCAGAGCGTGTCAAAAAACAAGGTAGAGAATATTGGCAACAAGAACATTCCTCAACCATTTATTGTATATCAATGTGTATCAGCAGGGCAAACCCACCAGTTTTGGGAGTTGGGGTCTCCCATTTGCGACAGATCAAAATCAAGCCACGCTGCGCGAACAGTTCGGCTCAGAGCGTGGTTCCACGAGTCCGCAGGAGTCGCTTCAGCAAGTTGATGTCATCCATTCAGGCCCTTTTTTTCGGCGGGAGACATGCAATGAAAGTAGGTTCATCATCATAAATCATCTATAAATGGGCCGGCACCATAGCTATGTTAAATAACCAGAGGATACAACGATCTGACTGATGGATTCAACGATTTTTCTCGTTACGGATGATGGCCTTTGACCAAATGCCAGGTAGGCTTCCCAGCGTGCATGCCAGTGACGATCCGGAAAAAGCACCTCACCTCGGAGGCTCCGTCGCAGTTTGCGAAAAATCACCAGGTTTCATACAGGATGGGGCCCAGTCAATAGCGTTCAGTTGCCTCAAAAAAGTGGCTTAACTATGGTTTATGGTAGAATAGTTAGTTGGGGTTATAATTGTTAAACAAACATAACTGGGGGGCCCCAGGTAAATTCACGGAGCTTTGAAACATCCACTCTCGAGACCTGCGAGGTGCACCTTCTTGCAGTGGATACGGGGATCACCAGGCGAGTTTAAGCGTTCCTCGCAGTGAGCGTCTGGACGTTGGACGTTTCTTTCGCTGGCAGGGAGCCCCGATATTTGATTGGAATGCGGATTGAAGCGGAGCATTTCACGGCTGTGGAAGAGGAGCGCCGCGTCGCCGGCAGAAAGCGGACTTGCTTTCTTCAAACAATTTTTCCATATCTTCAGAAACTATCCAGTATAACAAAATATACACACACAACGATATATGAAGACATGTATAGACCATATATAACCCTCATGTGCAGTGTATAGATCCAGTGGTTTAATGTAGCCCGATGTTACTTTTGGCTCAAGTAAAATAGAGCTCCGCAGCTCGATATCGTGTTTTCATGGTAGCGCGTGAGCCTGGTGAGTCTGACGCTGATTACGAGTTGAGGCAAAGGGACCGCAGGCACAGTAAGTCGAGGTGTGTTGTAAGTAGCTCCTCAGAGGAGGAGGAAGAGGAGGAGGAGGAGGAGGAGAGCCGAGCGGCTGGTTCAGCCGCAGGCTCGGAACTGGGAGAAGAGACCAGAGAAAGCCCAAAGCCCAGAGCAAAGCCCAAGATCGGATTCTATAAACCTCAGCAACGATATCCAGGTGGACATCTCCAGGTTGAAGCTGCGAGGTCAGCAACGGTGGCAAAAGAAGGCCAGTCGTGACTTTGATTGGTTAAGCAAATCCAGCAGATCAAGTACCCTTGAGAGGTCAGGGCCAGATCCATCAGAGCGGTTGGAACTTAGCGATGGATGCGCCGTGAAATTGTCCGCGTGGAAGCGAGTTAAAGAGGACTCGCTCCAAAGGCTTCAGACTGCGATCCGCCCAGTCCCGCCAATATCGCAACCTCCGAGGGCAACTGAGGCTTGTGAAGAAACAAGGAGCTAAGGTGGACCGTGGATTGGAAGAACAGACCGACAGGTTTGGAAAAGGGCGACAAGAGACCTTTAAAAGGAATCCAATTCGGTTGAAGCCGGTTTCGCGACATCCAATTCGACTTCGTTCAGAGGCAAAGGCAATTCCATCATCAAGTGCAAAAGCCAAGCCGAGACCAAAAGCGAAGGCGAAAGCAAAAGCCTGGACTTTGGCTCGACACCGGGTGCAATGACCAACTGCACTTGGACTCAAGGTGCACGGTCGTGCTGCAGAGCTAAGTCAGAAGATCCAGGACTTAGCCAACAAGTGTGCTGCGACGCATCAGCTTTCAGCCAATTCCTTGAGAGTTCCTTTCAGGTGAGGCACTTAGCAGCAAAACAGCTCCAGCAGGACACCGGAGCTAAGGGCCAGCATCGATCACTCGACGCTTGTGGGCACAAGACGAAGCTTGTTGGTCGTGCGACGACCGGAAGAGGAAGTTAGAGCCGGGCGTTGAAGAGTATCTTAGGAAGAAGGCCGAGGCCAAGAAGGCCAAGGCTGACCTGCTATGTAAAGCAGCGCCGCAGCGGCTTGGAAAGCCGCAGCGAGCGGACGCTCCGTCCGCCGAGGGGTAAAAAGGAGTGCAATATATAGCTGTCCATTCGTAAGGGTGAATTGGAACAACAAATTCAAGAATTGGCAGATACCATCCAACAACTTAGGCAATCCCAAATAGCCCTAGCCGCTGAAAATGAGCGGCTGAGAGAGGGCCAGGCAGGTGTTCAGGCATTGGCGCAGTCCGTAGGTGAGTTGGCACAGTCTATCGAGACTGTGCCGGCATTGCGTCGCAGGACGCGGTCTGGGACAAAGACACCAGACTAGAACCAGTGAGCAAAAGGAGCAAAACCTGGTACCAACTGTTGCATCTGACTATGCATTCATGTCCCGCAGTGACGAGGACGATAAAAGGCTGAGGCCCATGATGAGAGGACACAGATGGTTGCAGCAACCTTTGTGGACTCGAAGGGTGCAACCCCTTATGCTGTGAAGCTTGCAGCAGCGTTTTTGAAGAACTTAGGCTACCGCAAGGTAGTGCTTAAGTGGGATGGAGAACGCTCCATCATGGCATTGAAAGAGGCAGCGGCCAGAGAAGCCGCCATCGAGTCAGGCCTGAAGAGTCTCCACCAGGAGACCACCAAGCGAACGGGTTGGCTGACAATGCAATCCGCGAAGTGAAAAGGCAGATCCGAGTTTTGAGGTCAGCCTTGGAAGAGAAAGTAGGCAAGGGGTCCTTCCTGATGAAGACCCGATGCTTGCTTGGTTGCCGCGGCAGGCAGCGGACCTGTTAAACAGGTACAAGAAAGGAACGGATGGGAGGACGCCAGAAGTCCGCCCTAGTGGAAAGCACTGGCGGAAACCCGCCATAGCTTTTGGAGAGAGACTCTACTTCAGGGAAGTAGGGGAAGGAACGCGTGTCCTGAAAGAGGGGGGCATCATGGACGCACAGGATCCTTGATGCTGATTCAATCGAGGCATTGGATTCCGACGAATGCCAAATGCCGACAGATGGGATCCTACTGGATGGGATCAATTGAGAGGAATACCTTGGCAGCTCAGTAGGAGAGCGGCTGATCAGTGAAGACCGGTTAGTCGTACCCTCACCACCGCCTGAAGCTCGAGTGGCACCACCTCAAAGATGGAAACTGTACATCAGAAGAGAAGATGTGCACAAGCATGGAGCAACTGAAGGTTGCCCAGGCTGTACTTGTGTCCTTGAAAATCGAAGGACCCTCATACAGAAGCCTGCAGGGCAAGAATCATCGAGGCAATGGAGAAAGACGAGATTGGAGCAGAAAGCATCCAGGCGCATGCAAAGAAGCGCAAAGAAGATCAAGAGAGAAATGGACCAAAACCAATGGTCGTTTTGACCAGAGAGAGAGATGAGCGTGGAAGATGGAGAAGGTAGACCAGTTGCACCAGGCGGCGTTGAGTATCCGGCGCCAGAGATACCGGAAGATCCAAATGAGAGAGCGAAGCTCAAAAGGGAAGTGACGCCCGGATCACCAACTTCTGAAGCAAAGGCAAAGCCGAAAGTGTCGCCACAGCAAGTGATGCGACGTGGGGGTCTGAGTATCGCATCAGGACCACCACTGACTAAGGCGAACCCATCGCCGACGCAAGGAGTCAAGCGTACCGCCGAGGAAGGTACGGGAGATCTGGAAAGTATAGAACCACTGCTGAGCAAGCGGCTGTTCCAGCCGCAGCACCAGCAGCGGAGAGTGCACCAGACACAGGAGCACTAGACCTGAAACGTGCAGCTTTAGCTGTGTTGAAGGAGGTTGCTATGGGCAACATCAAAACTTTGGCGGAAGAGACGTACAAGAGGAATGGAATTGAAATTTCATTTCAAGAAATCGCTGATATTGCAAGTTTGAGTTGTGAAATGGCAGCAACAGATATTGCTGAGGTTTACTCACCGAAACGCTTTACGGCGCTGGCGCAGCAGTGCAAGCTGAGGCCAGGGTTTGCTGTAGATCTTTGTGAGACAAAGGGAAATGGTGAATAGTGGAGCCCCAACAAGACAGCGGACGCGGAACTCCTTCACGAGAAGATAGACCGTGAAGAGCCCCTGTTGATCACAGGCAGTCTGCCTTGCCATTTGTTTTCAAAGTTGCAAGCGATATGTTGGAGCAAGATTCCACCAGAGGTCAGAGAGAAAAGAATGAAAGAGGCATTGCATCCTCCACACGTCGTGTGATGTGTATGAGAAGCAGATTCAGCAAGGGAGAGACTTTCTTCATGAAGCGCCGTGGGGTGCAACCAGCTGGAAAGATGAAAGGGTGGAACGCATATCCGCAAGGGATGATGTGCACGTGCTGCAAGGCCCCATGTGCAAGTGGCGCATGACGGCAGACCATCGAGGCCTGCAGGGTACATGCTTTGCGCGTAAAGAGACTGGGTGGATGACAAACCACCCAGGATGGGCAGAATTGTTGGAATCAGAATGCACAAATAAGACAGGTGAAGCACCATGGCACCGCCACACCCACCTGATCGGTGGCATAGCCCAGCAAGCGGCAAAGTATCCGCCGCAGCTTGTAAGAGCTGTGCTCAAATATTTGAAAAGAGAGCTGGAAGAAAGAGGTGAACTAAACGCTGTCGATGCGTACAGCGCAGGACCAGTTCCAGAAGTGCCAACCGTAGACCCAGAATGGGAAGAACGGTATGTGGATGATGTCAACGGGGGAGTGCTTCAAAAGAGGAAGTCGAAAAGGCCAGATCGGTAGAGATGCAGTATCTTCACAAACACGAAGTATACTTGCCAGTGCCGACTGAACAATGCTTTTGAAGAAACTGGGAAACCCCCGATCAAGACCAGATGACTTGATACGAATAAAGGTGGCCCTAGTCACCCGAATTTCAGAAGCAGGCTGGTTGTCAAAGATATAACGGCCGCCAAACGCCCTGAAGACCAGCTGCCTGCAAATCTTTTGTTTTCAAGCGCACCGCCTCTCGGAGCAATGAGGCTGCTGTGCTCATTCTGGGCGACAAACAGAGGTCGATCCACGGTGAACGACTGAAACTTGGTTTGTGGGACATATCCCGCGCACATTTCTATGGAACGCCAAAGTGAGGATATTCATAGAGCTCCTCAGCGAAGAGCCAAGAGCTGGGGGAGGCAAGATGTGAGGACTTCTCCAGAAGTCCATGTATGGAACACAAGATGCACCGAACATATGGCAGTCCCACTACTCAGGGATTTTGATAGAAGGTGGGTACAAGCGTGGAAAATCCAACGCTTCGGTATTCTACCACCCGCAGCACGATGTCCGTGTGATGGTACACGGAGATGACTTTCTAGCAGTAGGGAATCAGAAACATCTCATGCAGTGAGCTGGAAGAATTGCTGCGCAAGTCCTATGAATTGAAATGTCTCGGAATCTTCGGAGACCAACCCGAGGACAAGAAAGACATTCATTTCCTGGACAGGTTGATTCGGTGTGGTGAATCCGAAGGAAGACCAGCAGTATGGATTGAACCTGATCGCAGGCATCTGAACCTGCTGATCCAGAGTTTTGGTTGTTAAACGCGAAAGGCGTAGAGAGTCCAGACGTGAAGAAATCTGCAGACCAACAGGCTCTTTCTTGAAACAAGGAGCCCCTTGCTTCCAAACGAAGCTGCGTCAGAGTTCAGATCCGCAGTAATGCCGGCAGCTTATCTGTCGCAAGACAGGCCAGACATTGGCCATGCTGTCAAGAACCTCGTGAGACGGCTGGTTCAGCTAGTTTGACAGACCTGAAGAGACTGATCAGATACTTGATCGGATACCCAGACTTCGCTCAGGTTTTCAAAGCACAAAAGACACCTGAGAGACTCGTTATACAGGTCGGTAGTGCTCATGCAGGAGACACAGTGACAAGAAAATCGACCACAGGCATGATTGCCTTCTATGGGCAGCATGTCCTGAAGCACAGTTCGATTGTGCAGTCAACTATTGCACCTTCGACAGGTGAATTAGAGTAGCTATTGGCTGACTATGGTATCAATGCAGCTGTCACCATCGAGTCAGACTCGAACGCTGCAAAGGGTACAGTCAACCAGGTTGAACTTGGCAAAGCACGCCATATCCAAACCCGATACTTGTGGCTGCAGGAAAGAGTAGCCGAAAACCACCTTAAAGTCGTGCATGTTCAGGTAAACAGAATCGATCAGATGTTGTGACGAAACCTGTGCCTGGCATGCAGATGCACCAGACTGATATATGACGAAGTCAGGTATGTGTATCTGACAGATCGGAGCAAAGGCCAGCTGAATCTATTCAAGTGAAGTCCCTGGCCAGACTCCGCTACCTCTAGCCAAAGGAGAACTGAGAGCCGGAGGTTACAGTAAGTCTTTGCGAGTGTATAGATGCCAGGCTTCAAGAGAGGAGGAGTGGAGACATGTATAGACCATATATAACTATGTGCAGTGCATTGATCCAATGGTTTAATGTAGCCAGATGTTATTTTTGGCTCCAGTAAAATAGCGCTCCGCAGCTCGATATTGTGTTTTCATGAGATACATACAAGACCTCCACAAATGGATGCATCCATACAGAGACAGGTCATCCCTGGGGAAGTTCCGGGGCCGTTCCCGGGACTTGGAACTCCGTGGGTCTCCAGGAAGTTGGCCGGGTGCACTCCGGGGAGTCAGCCGCAGTCAGAAGTTCCAGCGGAATGCCGTGGGTGTCCAAACCTGTGAAAGTGGATTTTGAGGACTGCAGACGGTGGTGGATGCCGCAGGATGCCCGAACCCACCAAGCCACCGAACAATACCACTGATGTCAGGGTCCCGAAAAAAACTGTGAATGATAAACCCGTTTTTTGAGATAAGTGACTGGCTTTAACTAATGAAAATGGTGATGCCGGGATACCGGTGCTTAGTGGGAAAATGGGGGAATGGGATGAACAGTTATGGATTGGATCATTCCACATTCCGAACTCCCGACGTTTAGCACCAGTAAGATGGTGATAGGGGAATTGGGCTCCAGATTTTTTGCGGAGGGTCCGATATGATTCCTTTTTTAGAGTCGCAGGATGACGACATCAGCTGCAAAACATATCCCAGACTCGTTCGCGCCCCAGCGACCGCCCCAACCACGCCGGCATTGCATTGCATCGGGCCCAAGGCCACGACCAATGTCCCGCTGGCAACGCCTGCGAGATCAAGGGCGTTGTGTATCAAGAAACTGCCAGCAGCTCAGAGGTGTTTCATGATCAGTTTGTGAATTGAGATGATCTTATCAATCTCATCCAACATTTCGAGAGAGTTGGAGTAGACCATCAACCCGAGAGAGTTTCTCTCTCTCTCTCTCTCTCTCATTGTTGGATATAGTATAGAAATCGCACACTATCACTTTGAGCCCAGCACTCCCTGTGGAACCCCTGGACGGCTGTTCCTTGAACTCCAAGGCTCCCACGCTGGCAAGTTCCTCGCAACATGAACTCTTGCTGCCAGGTGTGAGTCTTTTGGAGCCACTTGAAAGCCACTGAGACTGGAGAACAGACTATCTCTGACTATCTCTGAGATTTTGCCTATCTCTGACTAAGAACGAAGCAGCCCAGAGATAGTCAGAGATAGGCAACATGTATCAACAGCCTGCGGCACCGGGGAGACTGAAGACTGATCCCAAAGAGATGCAAGAACACCCAGTGGACAAGCAATCTGACGGCTGACAGAGAACATTTATCAAATTTACCAGTCAAGTCCTGCTTGGCAGTATCACACGGCCGTGGACTCTGTGGTCGAGGCCTTGTTTGGAACTCAGAATCTGCCGAGCTTGCCCAAAATCCCTTCCCTACGGATGTCTCAACACAACAGGTACCCCAAAAGCTACATTCCCCAATGGACATTTTTGGGGCCATTCACTTTCGGAATGTGGGACAAACCTACTGAGGGAGTTGTTAGCGACTACCAGTTGCGAACCTCTATTTCAGACGTTTGGCGGAGGGCAGCCTGGCTCTCAGCGTCTGCCATTTTTCGGACAGAGTGGCATGGCTCAAGAATGATTTGGGTTTGCCTGAAAATAATATGCCTCCCAAACCCAATGGTTCGGCTATTTGAGGGGTATAGCCCATTCTCAGACACACCCTTGTAGCTTCGTAAAATTGCGTGGTTCAATTTTAGAAATGACCGACTTTGATGGTCCGTCGGGTACCCCCAGTGATTTTGGGTCGCCATAGCCGGATGTCTTTCTGCTGTCAACATGGTATTTCTGAGTCCAGAAATGGAGAATATCCCAAGTCATGGCGGGATGGCTATGATTTTCAAAGGGAAAATGATGGGAAGAATCGGTTCGCGTCCAAGGTGTCGGAGGTGCTTGTGTATGTGCAACCGTGAGCAGAGACGGTTTGGGCCTTGATGGGTGCCGTGAGGCAACCATGCATTTTTTATCCGCCAAGCTGAACATGAATAGATCCACCACTAAATCAAGAATTCTTTGGAGCTCTTTATCAAGGGGAAGGGATAATTGGTCAGCAAAGCAATCACTTTCCGATAGCGCCCAAAACCAGCTCATTGTAGATATGGAATCTCCAAAGCATTTGTTATTCGCAGGCCGCTGAGCCACGACCCTCTGAGGTGTGCAGTGTGTGGCTTTGCTTTGGAAGAGATCAGCGATCTATCATAGGCCGCGAGCTGCGAAGCAGCTGGCTGGAAACCTTCCTGAAATTTTTAAGACGGAAGTATCCCCTTATCCGAGCTGGATACTCGTCGTTTATACCATATCGATTGGGTCCAAACATGCGCTGGTGCTTGCTCTTTGCTGCAAACTTGTTTCATATGTTTTGCTTCAAATTGTACATCCGGTTGTTCTTCCCGCCCGTGGGGACGCGTTTGGACCTAATCTTTTGCCCGCTTTAGAAGATGTTTTGCTGTACAGAGGGCCGAGCGGACCAGACTTCTGTGGAAGCAGTGTACCACTGGCTGCCTGGCATTCTCTGGTAATTTCGGCCACACATATGCCAGTCTGAAAAAGGGCAAGCCGCAAAATCCCATCGATTTCCCATGGTTTTTGTTTATGGGCCTTCCGGTTTATCATCATGTTAATTCATTTTCCCTCTAGTTTTAAGTTATAAGTTCACATGGCCACAGCTTTGGAATCAAGGGAGCAGCTCAGATGATGACAGGCCCAGCATCATCGCCTTCTTGGAGCTTTGTCTCCCTGGCACTTTGACAGCGCTTGACAGCGCTTGACAGCGCTTGACAGCGCTTGACAGCTTCACCGCACCGTGAATCTGCCAGGCTGCCAGCTGTGCTTTGATTCTGCGACTCGGCGCCATTGAAGGGTAGCCTCTGGTATCCTCTGGTAATGACTAACACTTTGCTATTGAAGCCAGGGCACATGTATAATAGTTGATTTACCAAACTTAAAGATGGTGATTTTCCATAGTTTTTGATGCTTTTTGTATGTTTACCAGAGGGTATCTCCCATTGGAATATTTGGAATCGAATGATGCCACCTTTCCAACCCTGTCTTCGCGAGTCATTGAGGCCTGTTTGCTCAGAGAAGATTTGATCCAGCTGGCACAGGAGCGCCGACATTGAGATGAGTCAAAGATAGGTGTTGCGAATCGTATGCATTTGACCAATGAGTCGAAATCACCTAAATGGTTTATGTTTTCATGCTTTGTCCATCAGAATTTCTGCAAATTTGCAGAGATACTCCTGATCCTTAGCAAACAATTTTGGTCCACTTCCTTTTCTTGGTTTTACCCTCTAGTAAATCAAAGGACTCCGCCCCCTGCCGCCGACCCCCTAACGTTGCAATGCGGAACGTGAAGAAGAAAGCAAGCTTCGAAACGCCAAATCCCCATGCACCTGAAGGACCAAATGGCAGCGTTCAAGCCTCCTTGACGAAGAAAGCAAGCTTCGAAACGCCAAATCCCCATGCACCTGAAGGACCAAATGGCAGCGTTCAAGCCTCCTTGACGAAGAAAGCAAGCTTCAAACGCCAAATCCCCATGCACCTGAAGGACCAAATGGCAGCGTTCAAGCCTCCTTGACGAAGAAAGCAAGCTTCGAAACGCCAAATCCCCATGCACCTGAAGGACCAAATGGCAGCGTTCAAGCCTCCTTGACGAAGAAAGCAAGCTTCGAAACGCCAAATCCCCATGCACCTGAAGGACCAAATGGCAGCGTTCAAGCCTCCTTGACGAAGAAAGCAAGCTTCGAAACGCCAAATCCCCATGCACCTGAAGGACCAAATGGCAGCGTTCAAGCCTCCTTGACGAAGAAAGCAAGCTTCAAAACGCCAAATCCCCATGCACCTGAAGGACCAAATGGCAGCGTTCAAGCCTCCTTGACGAAGAAAGCAAGCTTCAAAACGCCAAATCCCCATGCACCCGAAGGAGGAGGCGGCCCAGGCCGATGAAGCTGCCACTGCTTAACGTTGCGAACCAACAAATATATAGCCCCAAACTGCTTATCCAAGCTCCCAAACTGTTCCCTGGTTTCTTGTCCCCTGGCTTCTGGAACTTGCAGCTTGCTTCTTGCCCCTCTTCTCTGACGCGCTCCCCCTGCTGTCGGCAGGGGTCGGCGGATTAACACTTTGACCCTGCCCACAAAAGGGTTGGAAGATTGGTTTCCACCAAACATTGTTTTTTTTTCAGGGTCGAATTGTTAATTTACCAGAGGGTAATTCCCCTTAATCACCAATAATCACCATTAATCCCCATTCACCATGAAATCACCATTTATTTACCAGAGCGGCACATTGTTTTCTCAAGGAACTTTGGCACGACTTGCTGATTATGTCGTGCCAGCCGGACGCTCATATTGGTATGACATCAATGATCCATGATGGTACGAATAAAGGCAGCACATATGGCAGTATGTCATGTGCATCACATATGTATATATATATATATGACCTTTCATGCATTTCCCGGTGCTCAGCAATTTGGGTCAAGTCTTCTATGGATAGGACCCTCACGGTTGGTGCCGCCTCAGGTTCTCTGTCTGCCATAGGCCTGCGATTGCTGTCCCAACTGCTCCACATGCACCGAGCCTCCCAGGATCCCTGAGTGCCCCTACTGCCCTGTTTGTCCTGAACTTCCTGAACTCCCCGACCTACCTGAACTACCTGATCTACCTCTACGACTGGATCTGGCTTCTTTGGTGGTGGGGATTGTGATAGGGGCTAGCTTGGGACCACTTTTTGACCTGGTTTATTTAGCTCGGCAGAGCTGGCGAGTGTGGCTTCGCTCTAGGTTGTCAGACCTAGCGCGACGGAACCCTGAGGCGTTGTACCGCCTTGCATGAGCACTTCACCCTCTGGGCTGGACCTTTTGGTGACCGAGTTGGCTGCGAAGGTAGCGGCTTTGACCTTGGAGGTGCATAGTTTGAAAGAGCGGGTGGTGGTTTTAGAACAGCAATTGCCCACAAATTCTGCTAGGTCTTCTAGTAGTTTTTCGGTTGTTGACCCTCCTCCTTCTGAGAGACATTCGAGTACTCCTCCACAACGGGGTGCTGGATATTGTGTGGGGTCTGATCGAGAACAGCTGGCTAGAGAGATTGGGCGGTGGCTCCGCCGTGCTTTGGAGGGACGTCCTCGTGGACCTTCAGGGCGTGATCAGATCAAGCTGGCATCCCGCTTCTACGTGGTGTGCCGGGACATCGACGGTGTGGTGCACAACCCCCCCCTGCTCTTTGAGACCTGGCGAGCGGCGAAGGCCGTGTGCTTCCGTCAGGGCGAACCTGGGGACGCAGTCTTTGTAGGGCTGCCCACTAAGACTGAGGTGGAGATCGCTGTGCGAGCGGCTGAACTTCAGCTGCCTGCTGCCTTAGGGCGGCAATGAGCTCTGCTTTTGCTGACGGAGCCGAGGTTGAGCCTGAAGGCCTTGGACTCCGTGACAATTTTGTTCTTTCAGGTGATCAGATCGACTATTTCTACAAAGTGGGCATTTTGACCTGTGTGGAGCCTGCTACCACCATTTCCTGCATTGGCGTGTGTGCGGTGGACGACCGCGCTTTGGTGGCCCTGCCTGACGCCGCTTGGCACAGATTGAAAAAGAGCCGGAAGCTCCCATCAGACGCCCTGCAAAGAGCAGTGCGTGTAGCAGTTCAACCATGTACTCCCGACGAGCGCGAAGCCGCTTCGGGTGCTGCGTCCTTGCATGTTTGGCTTGGCCTTCTGGCTCCGGCCTACGAAGATCAGGTCGAGTACGACGAGACCAAGCCTGCAGATATAGACTTCCCTACGGAGGACGATGGCACGACAGTGCTTCCCTATGCAGGCGCTCTGATTGCGGTTTGCAAGGACCACTTCACCTTCCTGTCTGCAGAGTCCGATCTTGGAGGTCAGGGCTTGGAAAGCAGAATGGGCAAGCTGGAAGATCTCACTACTTTGATGGAGAAGCTGCGCGGGGATCTACGTCCTGTGGGTCCAGAAGTTCCTCCCGGGCTACCCGCTGCTTCCGAACGACTGGGTCGCCAACCCAAAGCGGCAGCACGGGCCCCAACTACTGGTGCCAATGGGCTAGACCCAGTTTTGGCCAGACAAGCTTTGGCTGCTGGCGTAGATGCGTCAGCTTTGGGCGAGCTGCAGAAGCTCCTCGCCCATCCAGGCGCTCCTCAGAAGAAGGCCTCTCCCACTCCTGCTCCGGAGCAAGTCGACCACGTCCTCGACAGTTCAGGGGACGAAGAGGAGGATGCAGCATTAGACGATGGTTTGGTAGATCCTTTGGGGCGCGCTGTGGTGGACTTGACCAAGATCGTCAAGGACATGCGCAAAGAGAAGAAACGTTCCAAAGACAAAGGGTTAGAAGCTATTTTGGACCAGGCCGAAGGAGGTGGTTTGCACAAGGAGATCCAAGGTTCTTCCAGAAGCAAAGCAGCCGCTCTTCGGTCGCTACAACAGCTTTTGACCACCGACCCATGCCTGATCTACCAGGCCATCGAGAAGCAGTTGCAGGCCGACTGGGAGCTGAGCGGCACGACTCCAGGGCTGCATATCAGCCAGGTGAGTGTTCGCGGCTGGCTGGAACACCGCTCGCGCCTCCAGAACTTCCCCAGCAGTGTGCGGCCAGCTTGGATATTGGGCGGCATTTGGGATGCGCTCCGAGGAGGGCGAGTAGAAGAGGCGAGAGCCAGAGCTGCCTTAGGGGTAGCCATGCTGGACCAGCAGGCATGCGACAGGGGGGCTTGGCTTCTGGCGGCCGAAGCGTCACTGGAGGCACCTCCTCCCTATTCCAGCTTCAGCCAGCACTCAGCTCCGGAGACCTGGGAGCTCCAACACTCCCGCTTGCTCGACCCGAGGTGGGTAGAGCTCTTCATGGCCAAGTTGAAAGATCTGGCGGACTATCAAGAGAAGCGGGCGACGTTGGGGGGCAGAGCCAAAGGCACCAACGACCCTCCTGCGCCCCGGGAGACAAGACAAGAAGGAAAAGGAAAGGGAAAAGGTGGAAAGAACCAGAAAGGCAAGAAGGAGAGCGCCGAAGAGAAGGGGAGCGCTCCTCCGATCACAGAGGGCTAGGTAAGCCTGAGCTCCGTCCGAGGATGGGCAGCCGCAACAAAGCGGTCTCGGGCACTGAAGGAGCCGATAAGAAGTGCGCCCATACAGTTCCAGGGGCAGATGCCCCGAGCTCCGACATTTTGAAAGTTTGGAACTCTATGACAAGATGGCTGTTGGCTACACCATCTCCTTTTTCCAAATTCATGCAATCTTTGCTGAGCCTTTCACTTCCTGTAGAAGGGAGTAGGGTCCCGACCTTGTGGCCGATGCCTTTGCCGTTCCCTGAGATGCTGGTCCGCATGGGGCCTGAATCTTCTGCCCTGCCTTTCCCTGTGAGGGCCCTGCAGAAGATGCTGAACCTGGTGGTCGCGGCGCTGTCATGGTTGCACATGGGACGCCCTGCAAAGGCTCCTGCTGCTATGGCTTTGCGTCAGCCTTTGTCATCTCCACAGTGGGCGGTGGTGCGGCGCTTAGAGCGGCTGCTGCATGAAGTGCATCACACAAAGACAGTTGTGCCTTCTGACATGGGAAGGAATGCCGTCAAGGTGGAGGGCTTGGATTTTTTGCTACGCGAGCTGCACGAAGCTGCAGCCCAGTTGCCAAGAGTTCCCTATCAAGACCGTTCGGCGAAGACCGGACGCACTGAGTTGCTGGCCCCAGGGCATGAGTTGTGTCCACCTGGAGAGGAGCTAGGCATTTTTTCACAGTCAGCCCCTGTCCTTGCAAAGCCCGTGGACGCAAGTCGGCTCTCTTTTCCTGAGGACATGCCTGAGTTTGACCCTACCGGCTTGTTTGGCAAACTACATAGCGATGTGTATAGTGATCCTGTCAGCTTGGCTAGAGAGCCGGGTGTGGATGAGCAACCGCCCCCACGAGTGAGGGTACAAGCTAGCGATGCTGAAGCTTTTGCACTTTTCAAGTTTCTAGACAAGCATCATAGGCTACGTCTCGTGCCAGCTTCTCAGGTCAGAAAAGAGCGTACCTGCGGGGCTTTCTCACTTGTGAAGGATGAGCTGAAGGATAGACTCATCGTGGATGCTAGGCCTGCAAACAGTTTGGAATCTACACTGAAAAACTACTGTCAAAGTTTGGGAGCAGTATCAGCGCTGCTGCAGCTTGAGCTTCTGCCGGGAAACCAGTTAGTGATGAGTGGTACAGACCTGCGTGATTTTTATTACTGTTTTCGTGTGACCAAAGCTAGAGCTCGACGCAATGCTTTCAGATTTCCTCTTACTCGTGCTCAAGCCGCACAGTTTGCATGTTTTCCTGCTGAAGGACCTGAAGACACAATCTGGTATCCTTGTCTTAATACTATGGCTATGGGGGACAATAATGCGGTTGAGCTGGGTCAAGGAGCACATGTGTTGTTGGGGCTTAGGGCTGGTATTTTCAAACCTGAAGAAATGTTGACTACACACAGCAGAGCACCTAGGGGACCTCTTGCGTGCGGTATCATCATTGATGACATCATCTTCGCAGAACAACTGGCAGTTGATTTAGATCTCACAGCTTTCACTGATGGCGAGCGTAGATTGTCTCTCATGTGCGAGCAGTACCTGCAAGAAGGGCTAACAGCTCATCCTGCCAAGACTTTTCAAAAGTCCACTCATGCCCAGTTTTGGGGCGTTTCTGTGGATGGCAAACGCGGCACTGTGCAGGCTTCTCCGAAGCGTTTGATTCCCTTGATAGAGCTGACCACTCGCACAGCGCGCAGTGGTGTCGCCACGGTGGGCCTGCTAGAGATTTTGGCAGGATCTTGGGTGTCTATTTTTCAGTGCCGCAAGCGCCTGATGTGCTTGTTGGATGAGATTTATTTGGCCCAGCAGGGAAGGACCTCTGACACAGTGATCAAGCTGTCCCCGACGCTGCAAGATGAGTTGTGGCTGCTGGCCATGCTTGGGCCGTTGGCAGTCACAAATCTGCGGGCTCAGAGCGTTGGCAGAATCTTCTTGTCTGACGCTTCAGAGCAGTTCAAGGCGACGGTAGTCGCCGATGTTTCCCTGTGCTTTGCTCGAGAATTACACAGGCATGCTTTGGCCCGGGGCACTTGGAGCAAACTGCTCACGCCCTGGAAGCTTTGGTGTAAGATGCATGGTCAGCTTTTTGAAGAGGAGGAATTGCCCGATGGTGTCCCTTTGGTCAGCCACCCTATTTGGTTGGCTTTGGCTCAAGCTTTGAGGTTTTCCCTTTTTCAGCGGAAAGAAGTGCGGCGGCGGCGGCATATCAACCTTTTGGAGTTGGAGTCCATTTTGGAGGTGGAAGAACGGCTGGCAAGGAGCCAAGGTGACATCAGATATCTACTGGGGTCTGATTCCCAGGTGGCTTTAGCCGCCATTTTGAAAGGCAGATCCAGCTCTCCGAGATTGAACAAAGTTCTGCAAAGAGGCCTTGCTACCGTGATAGGTTCTGGGTTATATGGCAGCTATGGCTATGTCCCCTCTCGTGCAAATGTCGGGGATGACCCCACTCGGGGTGTTTCTGTGAGATCTCCTGAAAGACCTGTCCCAGAATGGTTGGCCTCGGCCTTGCTAGGTGACTTTGCGGCGATGGATGGCTGGCTGGCCGCCCAGGGGTATGATCCTCTGCATTTGGCGAACTTGGACTTTCTGAAAGACAGTAGTGATGGAGACGGTGTAGATAGGCATGCTCTAGATAGTCAGCTTTTAGCCGAACTGCGAAGTGTACAGAAGCCGGGTAGGATGCAGCGTTTTCTTAATTCTAGCCTGCCAGAGGTAGGCCAAAAGCAGGAGAGTTTCACCCAGGACTCAAAAATTAGGGACACTTGTACAGATGCAACTGGTAGCAGCGCAGGTCGCGTAGGTGGTGCGGAAGGTAGAGTAGCTCCGGTCCCTTCCGGGTGTACAGATCTGGTAGGTGTGGATCAACAAAAAGAGAAGTCAAGAGGGCATGAAAAGCCATGCAAAGGCAAAAAAGAAAGTTGTAACAAGAGGCATCAAGATCCTATAAGGACACCACCCACAAGTGGTGGAAACAAAGAGCCCGTCTCAGCTGTTGTTTCTTCTCATTGTGAACGGGTAGCCCCTCCCGAAGAAGTAGGTAAAGTAGGAACAACTAGCTCGAAAGAGCTCCCCAAGGGGCGTCGGCTGCGGCGTGCCATGGCCGAACATTCAAATTCTCCGCTGCTGAGTGCGGATAGCAGAGAAGCCTTGCGGCTCCTGCCTGCCCACATGGCCGAACATTCAAATTCTCCGCTACTGAGTGCGGATAGCAGAGAAGCCTTGCGGCTCCTGCCTGCCCACATGGCCGAACATTCAGATTCTCGGCTACTGAGTGCGGATAGCAGAGAAGCCTTGCGGCTCCTGCCTGCCCGCATGGCCGAACATTCAAATTCTCCGCTGCTGAGTGCGGATAGCAGAGAAGCCTTGCGGCTCCTGCCTGCCCACATGTTTTTGCTGCCCGGGGGCCGTCGTGCCCCTGATGAGTGGGATCCTTCCTGTTTGCAGAGACGGGGCGTCCTTGACCTCTACAGCGGTGACGCTGGAGTGGCACGTGCGCTGAGCAAAAAGTTTGGAGTGTGGGTTCTTACCGTGGACTTTGCCCATGGACCTGAACAAGATTTGTTGCAGCCTGAGCTACAAGCCCTACTTTGTCGTTTGGCGCGGATGGAAACTTTTTTGGGGCTAGGTGCAGCTCCTGAGTGCTGCTCGTTCTCACGAGCAGTAACACCAGCGGTACGAAGTGCCGAATACCCGCTGGGCAAACCTGGTATCAGCCTCAATATGCAGAAAAAGGTTGCTGCAGGAAATAGCCATGCTGAGTTTTTGCTGAAGATTTTAGGCATTTTTTGTAGAGCTGGGGTTGGCGTATTGGGTTGAGAACCCTGATGAGTCTTTCCTTTGGATGCTGCCTGCGTGGATGGCTGCTGGCCTGGGACGTCAAGAGTCTTCTTTTCGTTTTGACATGTGCCAGTACTCCACCCCTTGGCGAAAGCGCACCCGCATCGCCACCAGCACTGCGCTGCGGGGTTTGCGTTGTCTTTGCCCTGGAGGTCATAGCCATTTGACTCCACGGGGTCGCAGCAGTGCTCATGGCATGTGTTGGACCCGAGTTGCGCAGAAGTACCCCAAAGAACTTTGCCTTGACTTGGCTTGGGCTATGGCAGCTCAGATGGGGCTCACTCCCAAGCAGCCGAAACTACATGTAGCACACTGTGCAAAATGTACCAATGCCCGTGTGGGTGAAGCACAGAATCCTGGCCCACGACATGCAGCCCCGCGTGTAGCCCGAGATGTTCAACAGCTGGAAGAGGTGCGGCTGGTGAATAAACAGACTCAGGTTCTCCAGGACAGGGTTTGGGCTGATTTTAATAACTGGGTTTGTAGCGTAGTTAGCCTTGCAGCAGCAGAGCAGCTTTTTCTTTGCCCGCAACTAGCAGTGGACGTGTTGGTGAACTATGGCAAGAGCCGTTTTGCGGCTGGAGCCCCAATGTATGAGTTCCGGCACCTTCTGGTCTTAGCTCAGCAGAGTCAAGCAGGTCTCCGGGCGCACATGACTCCAGCCTGGCGCCTGCTGTCAAAATGGGAGGCAGTACAGCCTTTGCAACATCGCCAACCACTACCTGAAGTGCTTTTTCGCGCTATGTTTGTGGTGGGAATGCTATGGGGATGGCGGCGATGGTCTGCTACTTTACTGCTGGGCTTCGAAGGCATAGCGAGGATTGGAGAAGTTCTCCGAGCTTCCCGCGCAGATTTAGTCCTTCCCTGTGATAGCTGCGATAGTGTGACGGGGGTTGCTTTTCTGCGTGTTTTGAAGCCAAAGAGTTCCCGTAGGGGAAAAGGACGGATCCAACACCTAAAGATTGCCGATGCCAATGCAGTGTCCTTTCTGGAGCATGTATTTGGCCCTCTTGACTTCTCCTTGCAACTTTTTCCACTTTCTGCAGGTGTTTTTCGGCGACGTTGGGACAAGATACTAGAAGCTTTGCTGGTCCCGAAGAGCAGGAGACCAACGCCTGCAAGTATCCGTGGAGGTGGAGCCATTTTAGCATACAAACGTGGTGAGCCCATTTCGGATATTTTGTGGCGGATGCGTTTGGTGTCCCTGACCACGCTGGAGAGCTACCTTCAAGAGTTAGCTGCAGATAGCCTACTGACACGTTTGCCTGAACGGAGCCGCTGCCGTATTCGCAGCGCCGCTGCCCTTTTTGATCTCCAACTGCGGTCACCTGGTTAACCTATACTGTACAAGCTCGTACCTGAGGTGACGGCCCTTACGAAGAGTGGTGGGGAGAGGCCTCTTCTTTTGCCCTTTGCAGTGCTTTTTGTTTTCATTGAGCTGGAGCTGCAAAGGACTTGTAGGCCTTCTCCATAGGGAATCGATCCCATACACTTGCCAAGGGCGAGCAGGTTGCAAAACGGAGTAGAGCTGAGGGCCAATGCATGACCTTTCATGCATTTCCCGGTGCTCAGCAATTTGGGCCCAACCCGGCCCCCCCAAGGTGGGGAGAGGCCTCTTCTTTTGCCCTTTGCAGTGCTTTTTGTTTTCATTGAGCTGGAGCTGCAAAGGACTTGTAGGCCTTCTCCATAGGGAATCGATCCCATACACTTGCCAAGGGCGAGCAGGTTGTAAAACGGAGTAGAGCTGAGGGCCAACGCATATATATATATATACAAATATATATATATATATGTATATGTAGATCATGATTGACAGAAATATATGACTATGACATGCATGGCAAGTATGACATATATGACAAGTATGATGGCATCTGATGTGAATCCCAAAGTCAAATCACCGCAGTTCAGCCACGATGTCGAGGTCTGCGATGCTAGCAGCAGCTGCTCCTTGGACGTTTGTCCACAAATGAGCATCCAGGTATCCCCTCCATTTAGTATAATTTCTGTCATTTTCCTATATCTTAAGTAAGAAAAAAATATTGATCTTTCAATATCTTTCATATATCTTAAGCAAGAAACATATGATAGTACACCATGGGAATTTTGGGGTGCTGTACCCCATTTTTATAAACAAACTGCATGCTTGAACGAATTTCCCCAATGCTTTCAAGCCACATTTCCAGGCTTACCAAATGCAGTCACACCATTTACTTTTTGACTATGGATGCCCATAAGGTTAGCGCCGGCGTTCCCAGAGCGTTCAGTTTAAGACTGTTCAAAATCAAAAGGGGACCATGGAATGGACTGTTTCATGGTCGTTCCTGGTGTGGGAAGCTGGTTGAGGTTGGGCAGAATAATTGGTGCCATGAGTGGGACAATTGTGGATTTTGGATGATTTTGGCCGCAAGTTGAGGTCGTTTTGCTTCAGAGCCCCGCTGCTTTTGAAATCGAGACAGACCAGGCATCCAGGTGTCCAGGATCGTCCAGGCAGCCTAGGCCAATGGAAGTGTAAGTGTGTGTGTGTGTATGTGTGTTGCTAGGCGTGGAGTTCTTGCAAACGTACCTGAAGACTGATCTCACCTGGGTTTGGCCCTTGGATCGGAAATAAAGACAGGAAGGAGGGTAACTGGAATTTACAGAGGATACATCATGATATGTATACGTATATATATATATATATAGTGTGTAGATATATATATATATATGTACATATAAACACAAATAAATAAATAAATAAATATATATATGTATGTATATATATATATAATGATTTATCTATAGTTAGATGGCGTTATACAGCAACTTACAACTGGGAGGGGCCCTTCTTGTCAGTTCGTCTGAATTTTCCCTGCACGCAATTTATTTGCTTCTGTCCTGAGTCGCCGAAAACTGGTGCTGGAAATCTACCGCAGCTATATCCGTTTCCCTTTGCAGCGGAGTTCTTGGTCCTGTACCAGAACTTTGTGCGCCTTGTGATGTTTCATACTTCCCCAAAAGACTGGCCCTTTGGAGTATTTGTGTTGTTGGTGTTTTCACATCTGGGTTTCTCTGAAAAATTGGGTAATGTTACAGCAACATATTGATTGTTAATCATCGTCTCCCTATTGAAATTGTTTTGCTAACAACTAACAATCTCCCATTTTCAGACAAACTCATATCACATTGCTTGTTTATGCGATCAGACCGTTTTCCGTGCTTTTAAGATCAGCGTTTTTCGCGGGGTGGGATGGGGTGGGGTGTGCTATTAACATTCCTGGCCCGAACACTTTCCAATGGGTACAATCGATGCTGCATTGTCTGCATTGAACAATTGCATTCCCAGCATTTGTCTTCTTCTACAAATCTTGGCAGTGGAGGTACGCCAACCTCCATGCCAGCTTGCTAAAGAAGACAGTAGACACCTTGAAACGCATCTTCTGGGAAAAATTGCGTTAGCAGTGCAGCTGAAGAAGCCGATGAAAATGGGCTGGCACTGTGGTACACCGCGAAAACGACCAAAATTTGGACTCCGTTTTTGTGTGGTTTTGAAAAGAGCGCGTTTCGCTACGGTGCCAACCTCATTTTCAACAAAGCCGCGCTTTTATGAGCACGGGTTCCGGTCCTGCGGGTTTACGCATCCCAAAAAAAATCCATATTAAATCCCACTAAATCCCCATGGCATGTGAGTCCCACTTGAATCCCACTAAAAAGATCTAAAGTCATATGAAATCCCATGAAATCCCAATGATATCCTCATTAAATCCCCTTAGTTCAAAAAAAAAACCAGGGCCGTTAACCCCATAAAGTTCCCAATTTTATCAACAAAAATGAGCACTTTCTTGATTTCTGGGCCAGGTACCGCTGTCAATGCTGCCGAGCTGCCAGCAAACGGACAGCTTCGGTGGTGCGGGGCGTCCGAGGAACACTCTATGGATCCACCACAGCTTCTGCAGATGGGCTCTGATCCTTTTGAAAAGGGGCTATGGGTTTGTTTGAAAATAGGGGATACCAACCACTAGCCATTTTTATAGGGAAAATGACGAACATGATGATATTTCATTAGATTGGGGGTACCATATTTTCAGACACACCTCTATAATTCCTCTGTATATATATATATATATACAAATAAACATGTATATATATATATATACACATGCACTATACATAAATACTACACATACATACATACATACATACATACATACATACATACATACATACATACATACATACATACATACATACATACATACATACATACATACATACATACATACATACATACATACATACATACATACATACATACATACATACATACATACATACATACATACATACATACATACATACATACATACATACATACATACATACATACATACATACATACATACATACATACATATATAATATCATATATATATACATACATGTATATATATATGTATGTATATATATATATTTATACATACACACACACATATGTATATATATATATACATATATATATACACATAAACATATATACACACACATATTTACACACATATATATATATATACATATACATATACACATAAATATATATATATATATACATACACATGTTTATATATGCATACATATATGCGTGTATATATATATATATATACAAATCTTTTACATACACATATATACATATTTACATATTTACATACATATATATATATATACATATATACATATACACATGTACATATGTATATATATATATATATGTACACATACAAATACACACACACACACCACACAAATACACATGCATGCATGATATGTATGTATAGTACGCTTAAAAAACCAGAACAGTGATGAAGTGATTTACCACTGTTCTAGAAGGAATGCAATTTTTCTTTTGGGGGGGTAGTATAAATGTTTTGTTGTGGAGTGCATGTATATATATATATATATGCATATATGTATATTATATACACTTCAGCGGATCTGCGATTTTTATAGGGTTGTACAAACCCCAGAAAAGCTATGGGCTATAAGACTTCTCATGCAACTAATGGACACATGGGGTGAACTTCCAAGGTGGAGACCCCCACCTTTCAGGTTGAAGTCTTTCGAGTGGCATGCAGCCGAGCCGCCGTGCCAAACTGAGGAACCTTTGAAACACTTTGGACGTCCACTTTTTGTAACTTCAAATGCTACAATTTGATATGATACTTGGTCTGATTAATATACATATATATATATATATATCATGTATATATAATTCTATATATATATATGTATACAAATGATGTGATAAATATAAGTTACTGATTTATTAACTTTCTTCTCCTGATTTCCTTCCGATTATCCACCTCCTAGCATCTCTGAGGATGGCTACACTGAAGGTTCCTGGGCGAGAAACTGCTCCCAGGCCAAACTATCCAGAATATCCAATGGATATCTAGTGGATATCTAGTGAAACAGTTGCAGACTTGACTTGAAATGCTCCAAGTGCCGCTGGGATGGCTTCATGGACTTGCTATGTTCAAACTGGTCCAGTTTCCTCCTCGTAGCCAGCGCATGTTTGTGCAAATTTATGCACTTCACACAAACCCACAAACACCCCCCCGACACACATCTCACAACTCAACATATATATATATATATATGATCACATGATCGAAGGAAGTGTAGAAGCCAAACTTCCGACCATATGGACAGGTGGAAAAGCAGAGGTGGGAAGAGTCAGAGAAGAGAAGAGAAGAAGAGAGAAGATCAGAGAAGAGAAAGAGTCAGAAGAAAGAAGATGCAGGTGCGCGAAAAGTGAAAGTCGCAAAACACTGTGTTTTTCCAATGATTTGTGGCTCCGGCGGGTTGAAAAGTAGGCTCGCTAAAGCGGCGGGTGCGGAGCCATCTGGCCAGATGAGAGATGAAAAGTGGCACGCCATTGTGGCACGAAGCACATTTCGAAGTCAAAATGTACAAAGCACACCATGTTCGGACCACGTTTGGAGGTTGAGATGTGGAAAAAGTGCACGCCGTTGTGGCACGAAGCACACTTCGAAGTCAAAACGTACAAAGCACACCAACGTCGGAGCACTTTTGGAGGTTGCGATGTCGAATAAGTGCACGGCATTGTGGCGCGAAGCACATTTCGAAGTCAAAATGTACAAATCACACCATTCTCGGACCACTTTTGGAAGTTGCGATGTCGTCACACGCCATTGTGGCGTGACGCAGCTAACTTAACGAAATACTGCTGCCAGCGATCTTCACATTACTGCACGCTCGTACCACCCCATTTCAATGCGAGCCTCCTCTGCCTCCTACATACACTGGCTCACACACACACACACACCCCACATCCGCATAGGCCGCATAGGCGTGAGATATATCTACTACTGAGGGAGGTGTTTGCAGCACTGGATCAGAGGAGATGTTTTGGAGAATTTTGCCAGGAACCCGGGTTCAAGAGTTGGACACCAAGTGGTATTTCATCTCATCCGTGAGTTGAATCCTTTCCGAAAATTGCTCAAAACTTCAAGAGTGAGGCACGACGTTGCTGCCTGGCCCTTTGTTTAAACTGCTCTCTCGGTGAACTTTCCTCTTTGACTAAAGGCTGCATTGAGATCCTTGTCACATTTTGGTGTCAGATGAGTATGTACACGATGTATACGCAAACAAATCAATCAATCCAAATTTATGGTATATATGATTATATAAATTATATATGAGTATATATGTATATAGTGAAATCCTGGTATATACATATATTGTATATATATATATATCATTATATATATATATATATACACATGAACCCCTGGTGTTTAGCCAGCATTTTGAGTACTTCCACGCTCCAACCTTCTCCGCACAAGGCCATCGCGAGCCCAGCTCAGCAAGGCGAGTGACTGTGGAGCAACTTGGGGGCGGGCCCCACTTAGTACAGTACCCTTTGGTACTTTAACATAGTATTGAAAATGGTCATTTATGGTTAATATACCATAATATACCTATGAAGAAATTGTGATTTGGAAAATAACCATGTTAGTTTTTACTGGAGGGTAAATGGACTATACCCCCAATTAGATGAGTGGAATATCGCCGCTTGAAAAAAAAATTGGGGTTAGAATATTAATGGATTATGAACCACAGCAAGTGAGATGCACATCCGAAAACATTGGACACTTCATCCCATCCTAATCCTTCCCCCCTCCTAAGGCTTGGATTGAATATCCCCCATCGTTTACCCAGGGATTTTCAAGCATTCGAGACCACGTAAGGGGTGTTCAATACTACGGGGACGCCACAACTTCGCCAAGAATCAGGGACAGGGAAATCAAGACATCGGATGCTAAACCAAGGTTTCTAAGGCTGTATCTGATTTTTTGGGGCGCGATTTACGGTGGCAATCCCACTATCTCCCATTTTTTTTTGGGATGATTTGGGCAAATCCATACTTGGTCATTGGGCATGGTTTATACTTGAGTTGATGGCATTAATGGAGATATGCATGGATATGGTGGCTATAATGCAGGGATATTGATGGAGATGTTCATGGAATTTACCAATTATGGAAGGTGGGAATTTCCGAACCGACCGTTGTTGCGAATTTTGACGTTTACAATTTGCAGCCGGGTGACCATTGCGGTTACAGTCATTATGGTTCTTTAAACAAAAAAACATGGAGATAAAACCATCCAACATGGAATTAACCGAATGGGGATTTACAGTATAATCCACTCAATAAATTAATAATGTGTTGATGATTTTAGAATTTTAGATATATTTTTTTACACGAACCAAGTCTAACTTCGTGATATTATCCATAGAAAGTGGTGACATAAAGACCAGACATTGGGTGAAAAATGCGGCCTTGTTTATCAATGGGAATCGAATCGACGCGGAATCGTTGGATATTATGGTAACTGGTTGAAACGAACTACTCCGAGTAGTCCAATATGGGGACCCCTATCAACAAGGGGGATGACATGAAAGCTGCATGTTTTGGTGACTTTTCACACCTTCAAACCTGCTTCTGGGATGACGTATTTGGTCCCTGATCGCTAGGTAGGATGCATTTCTGAAGCGGATGATCGGACACTGGTTCAAGCCTCATCGCTGGTTTTCGCCTGATTGTCATTGCAAACTGATGCGACACATCGCCAGCTTGTAGGAAGTGTTGTTCTCGAATTCTATCTTCCATCCCCCATTTTTTGATCTGGTTGGTGGTTTGGAACATGAATTTTATCTTTCCATATATTGGGAATAGTCATCCCAACTGACGAACTCATATTTTTCAGAGGGGTAGTCAACCACCAACCAGTCATTCATAGAATTCGAGATATTCATTAGAATTGGTCTTGGCGGCTTCCAAGTTCACAGGCTCTGCGGTGCCGGAGCAGGAGGCCGGAAGATGGTTTTTGGTTAAGGGCATAGCGGCATACACCACGTGGAGCACCATCAAGAAACATTCAGAAATCATCCAGAAATCATCAAACAAGAAATGACAATTCATCAAACATTACCGAAATCGCATTTGGTATTTCTCATTTCCGGGCCAGATGAGTTCTTGGCAGGTTTGACTCCTTTCTCCTATCACCTTCAGCAGGGCTCAAGGAAGAGAATGTTCAGGACTCAGAATGTAGCTCTTCCTGTCGTTTTCGAATCAACTGTTGACTGTGCTGACTGATGTTTAGGATTGTTTGTGCATGATTCTGGCAAGATAAGTTTGCAAATCTGAGTGAGCTATCAACTTCCTGTAGCCTAACGGCACATCAACAGCATAAATAGCATCAACGGCGCACACGCAAGGCTTTTCAATGGCGCTGCCCAGCATACGCCTCGGTTGGTGTATGGAACAAGTGCCCAGCCACCTCCAAACTTTCACACAGAGAAAGGTGAAGTATTGCCATCATCACACAGGTTTGCAGCAAGATGTTCATCGTTTGCTCAAAGGATTTCAAACAGAATGTTTATCTTGTTTTTCTACATCCGCATGTGTGTGTGTATATATATATGTATATATATATATGTATATATATATATATATATATCTGGGTGAATTATAACGACCTCACTGCGACCTCACTGCGACCTCACTGCGACCTCACTGGAATCATGGTTAATAAGGGAAGTCGTCCCCAAATGGCCTTTATTCAGATGAGTGAAATATTATAATTTACCCAGATATATATGAAGATCTCACTCGGATGGATCGAAGTGTCGTACAAGGTACTCTTTTTTGGCCAATCGAAGCTGCGCCTCCGGATTTGGGTCATGGGGCCGGGCTCGCAGACTGGCTGAGAATGCTCCAACCATCAACCCATTTCTGCAAGAAGCAATCTGGTTGACTTCCTGGGCTCAAGCTTGGAGCTCTTGTGGTTGATTTCTTCCATTCCGAGCACATTCAAAACGTCTCAGCACCACATTTTGAACATAACATGTTGAACCAAAAAACACATGGGTTTGTCCAGAAATGGGGGGTATACCGAGATTTACCGAGAAAAATCCCCCACTGAATGACAAAAAAAACACTGGAGGAACACCTTTTTTTCCAAACAACTGCAATCCCACAGGCTTTTTGGTGCCCCCTTTTAGTTCCAAGATTTGCAGCACATGCTGCCTTCTCGTTGCAGCAAGTGCGCCAAGCTCCTCATTGCTGCGGCCATTGCATCGGCTGGCCCCCAAGCTTTTGTTGGAATGGAGATGAAAGGCGACCTGTCCACTTTGCAATGTCTACAGGTTGACATGGTTTACTTTCCATGTTTTGGATTTGGTAGACCTTAATGAATGTACCATCCATGTGACCGTTATAGATTCAACTGAATAGCTGGGACGCTGCAGGTGCAGTCCGCGGACCCGAAGCAAAGCGAAGCCGAAGCGACGTCAGCGACGTTGCACGGGCTGCAGAGGCTGCAGAGGCTGCAGGTGAAGGATCAGAAGGCGCCTTGGTGGGGGTTACAGAAACCAGAAATCTTGCATGGTTTTATCATGATTTACCACTCTTCATTGTAGTGGATCTCCCATTATAGTGATGAATTAAAGCTAATTATATATATATATATACATATTATATACATATACAAATAAGGTTCTTAAAGTATTTAAGATCGTTTAAGGCTGTGGTTCAGATTTATTTGCCCCTAAGTTTGGAGAATCTTAAGCCACAGGCAAGCTTTTTTTGATGGGTCGAACGGGTCGAATGCCGATTTCAAGCGTTGACGGCGCGCCAGGAAAAGTGGTGATCCTGGGAGCTGGATTGCAAGGTGCGGCCTTGGCCTATTATTTGACCCGTCGGGGGGTGAAGCCATTGATCGTTGAAAGGGAGAAGGTCGCTGCAGCTGCAAGTGGCAAAGGAGGAGGATTTTTAGCACGTGACTGGGGAGACAGCATTACCAGGAAGCTCCATACAGCGACTCGGTTGAAGATCTTGAGTCGGTGATCTTCGCTGAAGCCAAACTCTCTACATTTCCAAAAGCATTTGATGTTGCCACCACTTTATTTCCCCTTCACTATACATATTCAAAATTAGATCCCCAAAAATGGGTGTCTCCAGTGTCGCCCATCCGACCTTCCAAAAAACATCAGGTGAGCTTCCAGTTGCATGAGGAACTGGCTGAGAAGCTGAAGATCGAGTCCTACCGGAAATTGCCGGTCCTTTCCGTGTCCCCTGGAAAGCGCAGCAGTCGCGTGCCGGATCTCTGCGAATGGCTGGATGGAGATATTGAGGACATTCGGATGATGGATCCCAATGGCGCGCAGGTGGCGCCTCTGGAGCTATGTACCAAACTCATTGATGCCGCAGTGGCAGAAGGTGCAGAGCTTCTAATCGGAGCGGCGGAAGGTGTAGAAACCGAAGCAGATGGTGACATCGAGCGTGTGACAGGCGGCTTTAACAAGACGTTTGCTGATGTCATGCATCCTGCCGTGTTCGTGCATCGCTTCTGTTTTGGCTGTCGAATAGAATTATACATGAATTAGCGAAATTCCGTGCCACCTGTGTCTGTTGATCCCATCACTTCCCAATTTCCCCTGCACAGGTGTGGTCGTTGATGGTAAAGTTGTGCCGGCTGAGAAGGTTTGCGTTTGTCTTGGTCCATGGGCTGCACTCGCCCAGGACTGGTTCAACATGCCCGTGCCGATGACTGGGGTAAAGAGCAGCAGCATTGTCTACAAGAGCGCTGAACCAGTGAAACCCTTTGCCGTCTTTTGCGGGGAGGATCCCAGATATGGAACCCACTTGGAAATTTATCCGCGCAACTCCGGGGAAGTTTACATTTGTGGTATTGGTGGTTCGGAATATGTGGACGGGACCCAGTTGCGTCGCGGGGAACTGCCACCCTCAGATGTGAAGCCAGACCCGGCGAGGGTGAAGGCAGCCACGGCGTGCTTTTCGGAGATGAGCCATAAACTGGGAGGAGAGCCAGATGTGGTGCAAGCGTGTATGAGACCTTGCCCTCCAGATGCTTTGCCCATCATGGGCAAAGTCCCTCATGTCCGCGGGGCATACATTTCTGCAGGCCACAACTGCTGGGGAATCTTATGGGCTCCAGTGAGTGGTTTGGCCATGTCAGAATTGATCCTCGATGGAGCCGCAAGCTGCGTGGACCTGCGGCACTTTTCCCCCGCGCGTTTCGCGCGCTCGGGCAGCGCTGCGGCCATGCGGGGGAGGAAGATGGGCGCTGTGCCCGTGGGTGAGCAATGGTAAGGGCAGAAGAGAAAAGCGCCATGGCACTGGTGGGCACTGGTGGGCACTGCCGTAGTTTCCAACGGTAAAGCAAACATGAGCAAACCACCTTTGCTGATGATTTCCTCCAGTGTCCACGTTCTTGAGCTGCGAGGCATGCGAATTGAGTCTCAATTGAAGTGCGTGGCAGCCAGTTACTTACATGGACGTGTCCTAGATTTGCGATTACTCCCATGGTTTTTTTCTCCTCTAAAACAGAGCATGGGATTTGGAGTCTCAATTTCCCACCTACCCGAGGTACAGGTGGCAGAAACTCTTCAGTTGAGGCTGGAGCGACTTCAACGGAGCCCCAAATCATCCAGCTTTGAATTTCAGTGAACACATGGTGACGACGAACCCGGATCCACCATGAAAGAGGACACCTCCAATATGATTCAAAGAAATGCTCCGCGGAGATATTCTAGAGATGGGATGCAACAATATACATCAGGCATCAGGGATTTCTTGAAATCTGCGGTTGGTCATTTGGTCATTTGGTCATTTGGTCACCGTCTCCAAAGAAGTCGGTTGGTCATGCAAAATGTCGAATTCCAAATCACTGACAACCTCATTTCCGGATGGTCAAAGACATCAAATGTGGGATAGCTAGACATCTATCTTGATATCTTGACATATCTACTGTATCTTGACACCAAATCTAGACATCTCTCGATATTTCTACATGACTCAATCCAATTTTTTCTTGGGATACCTAGAAATGGAGGTTGTCCGTTTTGTCATGGTACCCCTTTTTCATCATCTGACCACGACGACTCGTATTGGTTCAGTGATCGGGGATGCCTTCCAACAGGCCTGGCCAATCAGTTCTGGACTGGGGGAGTGGCTGCGGATGGGCCTTGACCTGGATGCCGGGATGCCCTGAAGCGTTTCACGTAGTATAGATGAAATGGATGGTGTCTTTTTTTCCCCCCCAAGAAAAACCTATTTGTATCTATTTTACTATCGGCGTTGGCCTCTTTATTTGGGCCTTTCTGTTTTCTGGTGTTTGGACCCAGGAACTATTTGCAGATTCCCAGGAACTATTTGCAAAGTTCCAGGAACTATTTAAAAAACATGCGTTATATTGAGGGGAGTTAGCGAGGGGAATATGATGATGAGTTAGCACAGGCTAGCCAAAGGGAAAACAGCAACACAACACTAAAATGCCCTTAAGTGCTGAGTCTAACTGATTTCAGCTTACCAGTGCGTCCCTATTGTGGGTATATGGAAATGACAGTACTCATGAGTTATGGTATGGGATATGTGCATCCATAACATGCCAACATGTTGCCTTGCTAAACTTGGGAATCTCGTGTGTGGAAACAAGCGCCTCGGGCATAAAAATACCTCTTTGATTTGATAAATCAATCGGCCAATCATATCAAGAGCCATGTCAAATATACCAGAACCAAAAAAATATGGTTCAATGAGCCAACGAAGAAAAAACAGTACCAGCCGGTTTTGGTGTATCATTCAGCGGAAAAGATGCAAAATGCAATAAAATCATTTCCAGCCTTACTGAGCCATGGAAACCAATCAGGCCAAAAAAGAAAAAACAATTCACCCCCGGGCCGCCCAGAAGAAAATGCGGTGAATCAAAGTTCGCGGGAGCAAAAGCAACAGCGCACCCAGCCCAAGCTAACGCGTTGGACAAACTTCACCAGCACCAGCACCACCAGCACCACCAGCACCACCAGCACCACCACCACCAGCAGTTCCAGAAATGAAAGCACGCCCCAAAGTGTAGGCCCAAGCGCAAAAAACCACCACCCGTGCCAAAAAGCCAAGCAAACCCCAATCTGAGACCCAAAACAAACAGCGTTCCGTGTCCTGGGGAATGTAGCTAGTTTTACGGTATGTCGACTGCAACTGAATGTACTGTAAAATACTGTGTATAATTTGTTTTCAGTTTTATGTCATGAGCCTTGTCATGAATCAAGTCAATTCAAGTTCCAAAGATTATGATACCCTATCGTATCCTATCTCACAATCCTAGGCAGCAGCGTACCAAAAGGGCGGCCATGCAAATGGTGAACTTGATTGAAGGCTGTGGTGGTGCTGGCAAAGGAACCTAATATGTCCTGCAGCCACTCTCGTATCACAAATTGCGTCATTCGTCATGTCCGTGAGACTTTTGACAGTTTACTGTCTGTTTGCCTCTGTTTAAATGCAACTCCGCGGCGCGAAGTTGAACTATGCTGAACTCAGTAAATGTCAGTACTCAATATAGTTTACATGATCAGAGGTTCCATAGTTGAGATGCCAAGGGTTCACACATCGCAAAAAATGAGCCAACATTGAATTAAAATTTTCGCGTGAGTCCAACATGTGAACAGTAGCATCAGGGTCAGCGTGAGTGACCATGTCGTATTGTAAAAAGGAAAAGCAGAAATCAGAATGGTCAAGACTCCACTGTTTCTCTGGTTAGCAAAATGAGCGACAAACTGGCGACCTTCCCAAGACACGCAATGATTTAACTGTGGCGGAGCATACAAGGTCTCAAAACCAAAGCGCGGCATACCTGCTGATAGTTTGCAAGGACCTGACTGTGACTACGCATCATCACCTGGATGCGATTGTCTGTTGGACGAGTTTTTTTTTTTCGCAGGCCTTTCCTGACAAGGACACCATATCTTGTAGCTTGTGAGATTCCAGGTATAGAGAGGCCACAACCATCACCCGATTCTGGCTGTAAGATGCTGTAAGTTCGAGGCAGCCCCTGAAATCGAAAATTTCGTTTTTGCAACCTAAGACTTCGGTATCTGGTACCTCGTCGGACCATGGCCGCCAGAACTTTCTCGGTGACAGGTTTTCCGGACTTTGAGGTTTCGGATTGCCGGGAAGGGTGTCGTCGCCCTTTCGGCGACAGGTTTTTTGGAGTTTCTATTCGCTATGGATGGCAAAATTCCAGGAACTATTTATAAGTTCCAGGAACTATTTATAAAATTCCAGGAACTATTTATAAAATTCCAGGAGCTATTTGTAAAATCTCAGGAACTATTTGTAGATCATCTTAGCGGACCCCAGCCCAAGAAAGGATATCTGCAAACATTCCACCGTCGCTGCTAGAGCAAGCACTTTGTCAAGTACTGCCGGGACAAGTTCGGGTCGACCGTTTGACTAGAAAACCCAACTTTCGGACACCGAACCGGAAATCATGAACCTTTTGCAGACTGAGGGATTTTGGACATTCTTTGGTCGTTTCTCAGCAGATATTGATTGCATAATCTACTAAAAATACCCAAAAAAAGGTAGACTGATCACTGACCAACAGACAAACCTGACAGAAGGCCGATTGGGTTTGAAGATCATTTTTTGATTTGTGTTCAGTTCACACGCAGGTTCAGCAAAAATTGTAAATGAGTAATAGGTCCGCATATCATATCCTGGATCTCGCTTTTTCTGGGCTAAGCTGGGCTAGTTCTTGGTTTTGATTTCTGATTTTGGATTTAGAAACAGTTGGGAAGGCAGCAAAGATTAACAATAGATCGACACCGTTCCAAACCGTTCTGAGCTGTTTATTCTTTGTACTTTACAGGGTTAATAAATAGATCGGAACCGTTCCGAACCGTTCTGATCCATTATATCTCTGTGTAGTTTACGGGTTTTATAAATAGATCGGAACCGTTCCGAACCGTTCTGATCTATATTTCTACGTACAGGGTTTATAAATAGTTCGGAACCGTTCCGAACCGTTCTGATCTATTTATACGTACAGGGTTTAAAAATAGTTCGGAACCGTTCCGAACCGTTCTGATCTATTTATACGAAAAAAACAAAACAGATCCAATTAGTTCCAAATAGTTCCAAATAGTTCCGAGTTTATAAATAGTTCGGAACCGTTCCGAACCGTTCTGATCTATTTATAAAAACGGATGTAAAAATAGTTCGGAACCGTTCCGAACCGTTCTGATCTATTTATAAAAACGAATGTATAAATAGTTCGGAACCGCTCCGAACCGTTCTGATCTATTTATAAAAACGAATGCATAAATAGTTCGGAACCGTTCCGAACCGTTCTGATCTATTTATAAACAGAAGCGGTTATAAATAGTTCGGAACCGTTCCGAACCGTTCCGATCTATTTATAAAAACGGATGTATAAATAGATCGGAACCGTTCCCAACCGTTCTGATCTATCCGCAAGACTGTCTACATAAAGAATTTATAGATAGATCGGAACCGTTCCAAACCGTTCTGATCTATATAAACTTGGATGGATAAATAAATCACAACCGTTCCAAGACGTTCTGATATATTGACCAACTTGGATGTGTAACTACATACAGGATTTTAGAGATAGACGGAAACCGTTCCAAACCATCCTGATCCACATAGTTATCAAGTATGTATGTTCTACTTCTGAACTTCCCGAAGTTACTTGGTCATTAGCCATAGCTACATTTTCAACTATATCTTCAAAATATGTGCAAAACTAAAATGAACTAACCATTGTTTCTGGTGGTCTTAAACTTAGAGTATTGGAATCATATATTCAATAATAAACCACCAAAAGTCGGGGTAGCTTAAAACACTGGCCCAAAATCCATAAGCGTACTATTATTGTAGACAGATGGTTTGGTGACTGCTTTGGCCTCACTATGTGTTTCTTTTTTAAAAATAGGCCCAGGAGTTTGGAAACAGAAAAACGCCAGTATCAGTATAATGCAGTAAATAACTGCTGGGATTCTAAAAATAGTTTCTGGGATTCTGTAAATAGTTCCTAGGATTCTACAAATAGATCCTGGGTAGCTATGGCCCCTAACACAGAAAGAGGCCAAAGCAGTAAGTAATATCTATTTGTTAATCTTCGTTGCCATGACATGTGGCTGCATGTATTTCTGGATATTTCTGGTTGTTTGGGGGTCCAGATGTGGTCAGATTTGTTGTTGGTCATATTTCTTGATGGTGAATTTATGTGAATTTGAAGCTGCCAAATCGAAAAATGGCACATTTCATCAATTTCATCGTTTTTTTTTCCCCATTTTTGGAGAGACCTGGAGCGCCTTGCCCCGGGTTGGGACCTTTAATCTCCGGCACTGGCCACATGGAATCGTTGAGGTCAACACTCTATGGAATCCGAGGCTTCGGCATTGAGGCAGCCCGAAAAGTATCTGTTGATGATTCGTTTGGGGATAAAAAAACTACCCAAAAAACATTGGGGATTATAATTTATGATAATAGTAATAATAAACATAATAATAATGATAATAATAATAATAATATATATATATTACACAATAATACTAATAATAAAATAGTAATAATAATAGTAATAGTAATAATCATAATAGTAATAGTAATAATAATAGTAATAGTAGTAATAATAAGCCAATAGGGGAATCCCTATTAGTCCCGAACAAAACCAACCAGTATTTCATGGAATGACAGAGGGGTTTATTTCACACTGCTCATTCCAGAATATCATAAGAATCGGTGGCAGGGCTCCGAAAAGCTGCAGGCGACAGCACAGAACGTTGCCTGGGCAAATCGCTTCTCACAAGGTGCCGTGCCGTTCCTGGAAGTTATTAGCTTGTGCTGGTTCATCATCATTTTCCACATAAGAAGTGCCACTTAAATGCCCCATTTTCAGACACATGGAGGCAAATACTGCTTGTACGGCGACTTTGACCTAGGCTCGAGTCGATGTTTTGCTGGCCGTGCTCCTTTTTTTTGTGCTCCAGTGAATTTGTTTGTTCGGCACAGGTTGGGTCCCGGATGCGTCATTTGACGCTGTGATATCTTACTGGGTTTCGAGCTCAGCAGCTCCAGTGCCTCCAACTGTAGTGCCGAACTCAAACTCACGAGGCTCTCTATCACCACAATGTAAGTACTCAATGCCCGGCCCTTGAAGCAGCGGTTCCCTGTGTTTTGCCGATTTATATGGGGTGTATGTGAGTGTGTATAAGACATGTATATATATATAACATTATACAACTATGAAACTATATTTTTGTATATAAATGCATATTAACTTGTCCGGAAACGTTGCTGTATATAGAATGGATTGTACACCGATAATGGTGGTATATACATTATATATATATATAGATAAACTCCTGTCAGAAGCGCAGCACGTTTTTTTTTCCCAACATGGAGTCCTAATGTCCTTTTTGCAGGTCACCTGATCCGGCAGCTGGTTCGAAAATTGCGACCCGGTGGACGGGCCTGGTTTGGCGGGAACGTGCCAAGCAGCGCGATTAACATCGGCAACGAACCCTTCAGGACACTGGATCCATCAGGTTTGGTGCAGGATGACTTCGGCTTGAATCAATGGATTGGTTTAAGGGAAATTTACAGGAAACCCCCATATTTAATGGTAAAAACCATGGTTTCCTGTAGATTTTCCCTTAAATCAATCCATTGATTGAAGCATGTGCAACAAAAATATGTGAGCCCCAGATTCGAGGAGAAGAGACTGGAAGCGGTGTTTAATCTCCTTGGCTCAAGTGAGGCACTTGGAATCCGAACCACTAAAAAACGGACTTTTTTTACTGCATGTCCTGAAATTTTAGGCATCATTCATCATCATTCTACATCCGCAATTAGCGCCGTTTTTTGGATGGTAAAACCACCGTGTTTCACCCATGGAATTTGGGTGGCAGCCATCCCGAGGTCGGTGGCATACCCGTGTCGTTGGACTTCATGGCAGACGCTGGGCAATTGGAAAGCCTCTGCTTTGAGGATCATCCCACGAATCGTAACTGATAAAAAATGAGCCGAAAAATAACTCTGTTAGTAAGTCCCCTGAGTGGGGTTGTCCTAGTTGTCCTGTATATATATATATATAGATGGTTATAACTTTTATAACCACACTTACTATCCATTACTATCCACTTATCAAGTTGGATGATCCTCCAAGTGGTAATTGACCCTGGCAGTGGATTTTTTCGACCTCTCTTGAAAAAAGGCAAATCATTGAAGCCATGCAGTAGATCTCTCCACCCAGCCAGCTAAATCTGCATGCAACTGGAACATCCGAATGATGGGCCACCTAGGACGCAGCTCTCTTCAGAAGAAACTTATTTGAAATTGGTCCAAAACCAGGCAAGGACTCGGATTTCCCAAGATATGGCAGACTGGCAGACTGGTTGTGCCATTGAGACTCAGAGTGGTGGGCGGAGCTTTTCAGGTGACTATCTCTACTTCCATCCAACATATTCAGTCCTGCTTCGTAGAATGAGTTGAGAGCCAAAGTTGCTCTTGGCATGAAGACGATCGACGTGTTTTCAAAGAAGGCAATCTCGTTCAGCAACGTGTGATGAGTGAGGCAGTCAGAACAGCTGCAGTCGCCAAGCAGCCGCGACGCTGTTGGAAGTTGTTTTTTCGCTGCCATTTGGCCCAGATGTTGGGTGTGTGGCCTGCCAAAAGGCAGGCCCAAGAGAGGTGGCAGCCCTGGGCGATTCCAAGCCAAGTTCTTGTGGAAACAGCCGTGAATACAGCCGTGACTGAAATGTGGAAAACCCAATAAGCCACCAGTAAATCGCTTGCCAGAAACGGGTGGGTTTATCCAGCTCCATTTTTTGGTTCATCCATCATCAATCCCTACCCCTGGAATGCCTGATTTCGAGCCGATCCTGCCAGGGATGGTCAACTGGGAGAAGGCAGCGGAGTTACGGAGTTTGGGGATTTTCGGCTGAACATCACTTTATCATGGTTAAATATGGTTAAGTAGGGGTGAACCTCGCCCATTTATGGAGAACTCTCTCAAGCCCAGTTCCGAACCTCGCCATATTTTTGTCCTCTGGTGTAATCTGACGGTTAAAACTGAAACTGATGCTATGGTCTTCACTTTCTAAAACAATTTCACCGTCATCATCCTTTTTTACATTCATTGTTTTATCATTCTTGCTGATTTTGAAACTACAGGGGGAGCATTTACAGTACATTTGATGCCCTTGGGGTTGATTTCAATTTCATTTCTCATCTGTAGTTTGCCATTACACAAGGGACATTCAAATACAATGTTTTTAGATGTCAGTTTTTGTTCCTCATTCAGATTGACAACAGCGGGTTCTTCATCTGATAGTTCAAAATCTTCAGGGATTGGCTTTTTTGGTATTTTGCTTTTACTGCTTTTCTTTAGTGGCATTTATATAATACTTAAGATAATTTATAATTACCTTCAGAAACTCCAGCATTACCCTGAATATCTGCTTTATTTTATTATCTCTTACAATTGGAAATTTAGTATCATCAATGACACTATCTTCAATCACATCTATTGTATTGATATAACTATCAAAAACTTCACAACTGCTCATCCTATATAATTAGATGATATATTTTACTACTATCTAATTATATATGGATTTTTAGGCGCAAACACAAATCCATAAGGGGCGGTAGGTAAATGTCAAAGAAAATGAACTGTGCTGATTGAAACATAGCATCAAACAAATTCAAGAGCAAAAAGGCTTCAAATCTTCTACTGCTTGTTGTCATAGCAAAAAGAGACCGTGTCGGGAGTGAAAAAGAAGCAAGAGCCCAAGGGGTGGATTTTTTTTATTTTTCTAATTAACATTCTTATGATGGGTAATAATGGCAGTCTGTTCCATATTCTACCGACCCCTATTCAGGTAAAATAAGATATGCCATTTACAATAAATATTAGAAATTAATTTTAAATAATTTATATGAAAAAACTTGATGTTCCAATTATTAAACCACATAAATCAGCAGAGTATGAGTTTAAACAATCAAAATATGATGTAGCCCCTAGAATACCATTTTCACAAATTGTAGTGGGACCGTCTGGCTCTGGTAAATCTATCTTACTACAGAATATGATATTAGATATTACAGAAATTGTTTTGAGAGGGTGTTTATATTTTCTGCTAGTATCCACGTTGATAGTGTCTGGCACCCAGTGAAAGAATACATTGAAAAAACACTAAAAGTAAATCCGAAGAAAGAGAAGGTTTATTTTGATGAGTTCCATAAAGAAGATTTGGAAGAGATACTTGAACAAGAATACAAATTAAGTGAATATCAAAAGAAAAATAAATTGAAAAAACTGTTTGCTACATTGATTGTTGTTGATGATTTTGTTGATGCGGTTTCATTTTCAAAACACAACAGTATGCTCAATGCTCTTTACATCAGAGGAAGACATTTTGGGGTCAATGTGGTGAGTTCCACACAAAAGTTCAATGGATTGAGCACTATTATTAGGGTAAATAGTAGGCAACTATACTTTTTCAAAATGAGAAACTATAAGGAGATACAGACAATGATTGAAGAATTGTCAGCGCTATTGATAAAGAAAAACTTGTGGATGGACGATAAAAATATCAACAGTGCTAAAAAGACATTACTAGAAATTTATGAACTGGCAACTGAAGATAGGTTTTGTTTTTTATTTGTAAATTTGATGGAGAGTGATATTAATAGGGTTTTTATGATTAGATATGACAAAAGGATATTAGTAGATGATACAAAAGATATATAAAGAATAAAGAAGCAACAAATACCAAGAATATTTACAATCATTAGTTTAATAATATTAATGTCTTTAATATTATTAAATCAAACTCCAACTACAAGGTTGAATAGCAGGTAGTTTATACATAATCTTATCAGATTTTTCCTTGTTCAATTTTTCAATTTTGCTATTGATTTCTTTTAAGGCTTTTATTTGTAATTAATCTATTCTACTGATGTCCAACTCTTCTTCATTAATTTTACTCAATTCTTGAATACAACCGTTTTCAACTGAACTTGGTTTATTGCCCATATTATAGGTTTATAATTTAATTATCTTTAGGTTTTGATTTTGCTTTTGCTTTTGCTTTACCTTTACCTTTCAATTCTTTTATCTCCTCCATCATCTCAAACATTGTTGCTTCTAAATGCTCTATTTTTGATTGTTGCTCTCTTACAGCACCCCATAAAACAGAAGATAATTTCACATAATTTAACTGTTTAATACCTTCATCATTTTACATAACAATATTCTCAAAATCCTTTGGTATAACTTCTTCAATTTCATCAGCAACAAAACCAATATGATTTTTACTTATGCCTATTTCCTTTTCATCTTTCATTTTGAAAGTTTTAGGTTCAATCTGTTTTACTATATCTGTAAAATTGTGCTCAACACTTTTAATATCATATTTTTTAGTTTTATCACTTGTATCGACTAACTCACCAGATAAAGACACACCTGCTACAACTGTTGTATTTTGTCTTGAGTTCAAAACAGTGCCTGACATATCAATCACTAAATTACCACCACAGTATATGCGATTTTGACCTATAACTTCTTACCTTCATCTACTTCAACATCGGTATAGAAATGTAAATTTTCATCAACGTGCTCATACAACATATAAATTTTACCCCAACCACTACCACCACTAATAGCACCTCTAAATTCAGTATTTGTATTGTCGCTTCTATTAGCAAAAGCATTAGCAAACATCCAGCCCGAAGAAACACCAGTGCTACTATCAACATTTAATAAGTTGGTTGGTGCTCCATTTGAAGTAGAATAACCAGTTCCTAATCTAAAGAATTCAACCCCGTTTCTATTGAAAACTACATCATTATCACCAGCAAAACTATCAAAACTATTACATAAAACCTGAGGTAATGATAATTCAACTGTTGATGTTATACCTGTCTTAAAAATCTGGAACACATCCAACACATCACCAACACCAAACGCAATAATACCATTATCAACATTTTCAGTGTTTGTAATTCTTAATACATTGTAATTAACCAAATCAAAATATGCCTCTTCATACACAAAGGATGTTTCATTACCACCTAGCAATTGTATTTGATTACTTGTATTCAGTTTAAAGATATTAACATCGTTTCTTTTAAACACCAAATCAACATTAGTAGCATTTTTTGTATTGATGACATCAGTTTGTAATTCAGTATGGCATACAACATCTACATTGAAATATGCCTGTGTTAATGACAATTGAAATTTTAAGTGTTGAGGGAATGGACTACCACCAATATAAAACCGATGGACGCCACCAGAAGCAAAAATACAATAATCATAAGCAGTATTACCACCTCCTATATTAATAGAACGGATATAACCTTTACCAGTTCCTAAAACAACTGTCCCCCCAAGGACTAACTCTATGCCTGAAAGAAAATAAGAAGTTCCATTAACAGTTAAATCAAAACTACCAAATTGAGCCCCACCGGCCCCACCGCCTATGACTACATCACCTTCTATTGTCTGTAATGTTTCACCAGTATATTTAACACAGTTTGATGTATCGCCCCTGTTGCTAAATTAGTAGGTTGATTAAATTGAATTTGTCCATCAGTCAGTGTTATATAATCAATTCCTGCTCTTTGAATTACTAAATTTGATGCTGGTTTTGATGATATTTCATTTATACTCGCTCCATCTGCTGATAATGATATACCACTATTTAAATCTAATGTGTTATTTCTTAAATAAAAGAAATCAGTAGTGTTTCTTCTAAAATTAACATCGGCATTACCTATACTATCATAAGTGTTTGATTTAACACCTCTTGTCATCTCTACTGCTTGTAGTGTCCCTTCTAATTTCATATATTCAACTCCGTTTCTTTGTAAAACTATATCACTGTTGCCATTGCTGTTTAGTGTATTTGTATTAAGAGTGCCACCTACAACAACATTACCTGCTATTGTTTGGGATGCTTCACCAGTTAATTTTACACAGTCGGAAAGGTCAGGAGTTATAGATAAATTTGTAGGTTGGTTAAATTGTATTTGACCATCTGCTAAGGTTATGTAATCAACACCTCCTCTCTTAATCACTAAATCTAATGGTGCTATGGTGTATATCTCCTGTGTTTTAAGATTGCCTCCACATTGGATTAATTTGCTTGCTACAATTTTAGTTTCAGAAACATCATATTGTATATAAGTATCATTGTTGCTTTGAAAAAGTATATCATTTAAATTTAGAGCATTAAATGTATTGGACTGAATATTTGAACCTTTGATATAACCGCTACTATCTAATGATGCTACTAAGTGATTACCTAATACTTGTGCATCGCCATTAACATAAAAATCATTTGACGATGAAACCGCATTTATAATAATCTTTGATGTTCCACCTACACTTCCTATATTCAATGTTCCTTCCATATTTTGAGGATTATTTACATTCAGTTTTGTATCTAACAATGTGTCAGCCTCAGTTTTATTATATTTATTATTTAATAAAGCATCTGTCTCAGTTTTATTATAATAATTTGTTAAGTCAGTCGTGCCTGTTCCTCCACCAACTCCACCATTAGCAACTGCTGTATTTACATACTGCTCTGTTGCTAAATTTGATGAACCCGTCTAAAAGTTTGATAAATTCTGTTCCTATGATAGTATTGCCACCGTCCAATTGAACCATTAAATAATAAAATAATTGAGATATTATTTTATATTTATCTTCTCTTAGTTTTTGAAGAAAACATATTCATACATAAATTGTTGTATTTTTCTTGCTTTTGTTTTATGAATTGTTGTTGTAATACCAAATAGTGTTGAGCCATAGCATCAACTGGGTTGATGGGTTGAACTGGAACTGGTTGCTTTTTCTTTATTAAAGGTTGGGTTGGCACTTCTTCTTCTTCATCGC